GTTCACACTGCCGGCTGCCAACAGCTTGGTTGTACCAAGCCAGGACGGAGACGCATCGAACGAGATACATGGCTCTGGACACCGGAAGTACAAGATGCCGTGCACCTGAAGAAACGGCTCTACAAGGCCTTTCTTCAGGACAAGACCAGCGAGAAGCTCTGCGAGTACAAGGCGGCCAAAAAGGCAGCCAAGAAAGCAGTAGCGACAGCCAGAAGCTCCCACTACGACATCTACGAGAAGCTGAACACGCGAGAAGGCGAGAATGAGATCTACCGCCTAGCCAAAAGCAGACACAGGAAGACCCTGGACATTGACCAGTTTCATGGGATCAACGACGAAAGGGGAAATTTGATCGTCAACCCCAGAGACGCTGCCAAGAGGTGGCGGCAATACTTCGAGAAGATCTCCACCGAGGAGTTCCCACACCCACGAACCCCGCGAGGTGACCCCGTCGAAGGCCCAGTCTCAGGCATTCACGCCAGCGAGGTCACCGACGCCATCAAGGCCATGAAAAACGGTAAGGCAACAGGACCAGACGACATCCCTGCCGACTTCTGGAAAAAGGCACTACCGGGCTCGGCATTGTGGCTGTGCGAGCTGTTCAACAACATCGTCTCCACGGGAATAGTGCCACACGACTGGTACCGCAGCACCACTGTTCCGATCTGGAAGGGAAAGGGCAGCCCAGCGGACTGCTCCAACTACAGACCGGTCAGGTTACTGTCACACACTATGAAGATCTTCAAACGCGTCCTCGATAAGCGCATTCGGGACATCGTCGACATCAGCGTCAACCAGGCCGGATTCATCAAGAACTGCGGCACCACCGATGCCATCTTCGGTGTGCGGATGCTGATGGAGGCTCACAGAGAGAAGAAAATCCCGCTCCACACCGCCTTCTTGGACTTGGAAAAGGCCTTCGACCGAGTCCCGCATGATCTCATCTGGTACGCACTGCGAGATCACGGCGTGCCCGAGCTACTCGTACAATGGGTCCAACTCCTATACAGATGTCACAAAAGCCGTGTAAAAGCGGCAGCTGGGATATCAGAGGAGTTCAATATCACCGTCGGCGTACACCAGGGCTCTGCTCTCTCACCACTGCTGTTCATTCTGGTGATGGACACAATTACACACGACCTGCACACGCCCGCCCCATGGACGCTGCTCTACGCCGATGATGTGTTCCTGGCCAACCTGCGCAAGGCTGAACTTGAGCACCTAGTCCAACAGTGGCACGACCGCCTCGAGCAGTTCGGGCTCCGGTTGAACCTAAAGAAGTCCGAATACCTGACCACTGACAACGAAACGACAGGTTCCATCCACGTGAACGGGCAGGAGCTACCGCGCACCTCCACCTTCAAGTACCTGGGAACTACTCTTGGGGAAGAAGGCCTACTACAAACTGAGGTGGCAGCCAGGATCAACGCAGCGTGGGGCAAATGGAAGTCCGTCACGGGCGTCCTCTGTGACAAGAAGATGCCGATGCGCCTGAAGGCGAAAATCTATAACTCTGTGGTGCGCCCCGTGGCCATATACGGCGCAGAGTGCTGGCCGACGACCAAAGAAGTCGAAAGCAGACTCCAGACAATGGAGATGCGAATGCTCCGATGGTCGGTAGGCCTCACCCTACTTGATCGCGTCAGGAATGAAGAAGTGCGCAGACGGTTCAACGTCGTGCCCATCCCCACGGTCATGAGGCAGTCCCGGCTACGATGGTTCGGCCATGTGAGTCGCGCCAAGGAAGAATCCATCATCAAATCTGTGATGAAGGTGATTGTCGGAGGAGCGAGACCGCGTGGTAGACCTAAGCAACGCTGGATGGACACGATCAAGGCCGATCTAGAGATCGCGAAGGCAGACCCGACATACGTGGCAGACAGAGAGGCGTGGAAGCAGTACTCAAGGACATTAGCGGACCTCGCCAGAGCGCGAGACAAACGCTGAAGAAAAAGAAGAAGAAGAAGAAGATGGGTTTCGGAAGGAACTAGGAGCTATTCCTGTTAGTCTGCTCAAGTTCCATCCAAAGATTTTGTTGTTACTTGCAACAGGGGCTAGCTGAGAAGTTGGATTGGATTGCACTCATGCACCTGCTCCTCTGTCAGGGATTCTGTCACTCTCCTGTGCTTTATGGAGGAGCTCAGAGAGATGAAATGAAAGAAGAAATATCTAGAGCAGATGTGTTCGACCACAGCCCATGAGCCAATGTGGCCCTGGACAGCTAGTATTGCAGTGTCACAAGATGTAATAAAAAAATAAAAGAAATTTGTTGTTTATATACATTGACTATATTATATATTTCAGATACAGCCCAAGACAATTAGTGTTCAATGCAGCCCAGGCAAACCAAAAGATTGGATACCCATGATCTAGAGCAGCATTGGCACTCAACCAAGGACAAGTCAACAACAACATGGGTTAGCGTCACTATTAGAACTTACTTTGTGGCACTAAGGGTAGGACTTTTCCACCCCTATTGTATTCACAGATTGTTGCCCCACACCTGTTTTGGGTGAGACAAGTCCTCTTGTGCAGGGGCCTGGGGAGTAATTTGTTTAGCACCTGCTGGATAAAATCGCTCCAATTTACTTGCAGCTGAATGCTGGCCTTGCTGCATGTCCAGAGGAAATGTTTGGTTATTGGGAATGGTTTGAACCTGTTGGACCTGAGGAAATGGACTGAGTGCTTTAAATTGTGAACTTAACCATCAGCTTTTTAGATTAATGCCCTCTTGGCTTTGAAAGTGGCCCAGGATGGTCCAGGGTATATGGGTTCTAGTGGGTTCTAGCAGTAGTTAATTTTTCTTTGAGTGGGGAGGTTGTTCCTTTACCTCTTAAAGAGGCTTTGGTTTGCCCCCTCATTCAGAAGCCATTGCTGGATTTTACTATACTGGATAACTTTTGCCCATTATCTAATCTCCTCTTTTGGGACAAGGTGAATGAGAAGGTGGTTGTGCAAACAGCTTCAGGGGACATTGATAAAGCAGATTATCTGGCTCCTTTACAGTTAGGATTCAGACCTGGGTATTGGAAAGAAATGGCATTGGTCATTTGTATTGATCTCAGGCATGGAAAGCATGGAGGTTGTGCATCCATCCTTGTGGTATGTGACCTTGGTAGTTTTTGATACCACCCATCATAATATCCTTCCAGATCAGCTCAGGCGACTGGGGTGTATGACATGGTACTATGCTAATTTGCCTATTTCTTCAGGATTTCTGATGATACCCAACTATATATTTCTGCCCCGGTGAATTAACTTTGAACACCTTATGCCAGTGCCTAGAGATTGTCTGGTTGGGGACAACAAATCCTAGCAAGATTATGGCTTTGGGATGTGGGGTCCTACCAGTTCTAGGACTTTGCCATGCTGGACGGTGTGGCAATCTGGGAGTCTGCCTAGGTTCATGACTCCTGTTCGAAGAGAAGGTGGTGGCCGTGGCTAGGAGGGTTTTTGCACAACTTTGTGCTATGTGCCAACTGCATCCCTTCCTGGATTGAGAGACTGTTCATGGTTACTCATGCCCTAGTCCCCTCAAAATTGGGACTACTGGGACTGGGTTACATTAGAGTGTAGATATACTCTACATGGGGCCTTCCATTAAATCAGGGGTTCCCAACCCCCAGTCCACTGTGGTGGCACAGGCAGTTATGTGTACTGCTAAAAGAGCACATATTACACCACTGCTTCACAAGCTGCATTGGTTGTCAGTCTGTTTCCAGGTCCAATTCAAGGTACTGGTTTTGACTGTTAAAGTCCTTCGTGACATAGTGCCAGCTTATCTGAAGGACTTCTTCTCCCTGATTGCTTAGGTCTGTCCCATTAGATCTGGGAGGGAAGGCATATTATGGCTTCTATCAACCAGGGAACTGTGTGTGGTGGGTCCCAGGAGGCAGGCCTTCTCTGCTGTAGCACCTCTTTGTGGAACATCCTCCCCTATGACATTAGGCTTGTTCCTTCCTTGCTATTGTTTAGGAGGTCCTCAAAACCTGGTTATGTCATCAGGCATGAGGATCTTTGGGAACTGAAGAGATTACTAGATGTTCTACTGTGACTTGTTGTGACGTTCTTGCTCTTTCCATTCAATTTGTATGCTTTTTAAAAATATTGATAATATTCTTATTTTTATTCTTTTATTATATTTTTAATCTATTTATTATTGTATTCAATTGTTGTAAACCATCCAGAGTTACTTTGTGTGAGATGAGTGACCATATAAATGCAATAGATAAATACACAAAGAAACAAAGGATTTTAAAAATGATATAACTAAAAATGGAGCCTAATGTGAATAAAATAATATAATTCTCCAAAATTCTTTGCTACTGTATTAATATCTTAGTTAATGCTATCTTCTGCATTGTTAAACTTGATTGAAAGAAAAATGTAGTTTAATTTTCTAAAAAGCTTTCTAAAATAAAAAGTTCAACAACTAAGAAGAAAGATAATTAATTTCTGTTTCCAAGTGTCCTATTCCTCATCAACTCCCTTGATCCTATATTTATATATTATGCAAACCAATTTGTGGAAGGCCAAGTGTGGTCTGTCTTTCCCAATTTAAATAAAATGTTTATTTTTTTCCCTTCGCTGAAACACATTTTAATATTATTCTTATGTGATTCCTATTACTTGCAATGGGCTTGTACAAGATAACTTTCTATAGATTATGTTTTATATTTGAATAATAAAGGTAACACTTTATATTAATATTTTCTCAATCAGCTATCAGAAAACATATAATTGCTTAAAAGAAAATGGCAACTTTTGGCAAGGTATAGATTTCTTTTAAGAAAGTATGGTACCTGAATTGCCACACTGTACAGTATAAATATTGAATTAGGCAAATCTTCTTACCAGTCTATCACATAGAATAAAGTTAGCAAATAAGATTTAGTCAGAAGAAAATCTGAAAGAATTAACACTGGATCCAACGCATAAGAAACAGAGAAAATTGCTCTACTACTGTTATCTGCAACCCCGCACAGTAAATACTCACTTACCCTGTTGGTGATTTTTTTGCCGTCCTTGATTTCTACTGCCAAACCAAGATCAGACAATCGGCAATGACCATTATCATCCAGGAGGACATTTTCTGGCTTCATGTCCCTGTAGACAATTTTGATGGAGTGGAGGTGCAGTATCCCACAGATAATTTGAGCTGAGTAGAAGACGACTCTATCCCTTTCCAAGCCTCTTTCACCCACATTGTAAATGTGATATTTAAGGTCCCCACCATTCATGAGGCTCATGACGAGACATAAAGCGGTTTTACTTTGATAAGCATAGGCCAGTGTGACAATGAAACGACTGTTGACTTTTTCAAGTATCTCCTTTTCAAGAAGAGCCATACTTTCACCCTTTTTTTTCTTCAATCTTTTTTTGTCCAGCTTCTTACTGGCATACATCTTCCCAGTACATTTCACCTGGACAGCACAAACCTACAGCATGTTCCATGCAAAAAGAAAAAGTCCAAGTGAGCCATTTATATTGGGAAGCAGAGAGATGTCAATAACAATTCTGAACTGCTTTAGTGATACCTTAAAAATAAGGTTTTCTTGGCTGGAATGTCTCCTTCTAGCCTTTCTACCTACATAAAGTGTTAAGTAGTAACACTACAGACCTTTTAAACTAATTAAAAGTAACCAATTATGTTGCATTTTGTCTTGCCTGTTACAAGTTTCATAAGTGCTTATATAAGCAGAAAGGTGAGGAATAAATTTCATAAACAAATAATAGAATTATTTACTATCATGAAAAATAAAAAACATGAATTCATGTAAGCAACTCTGAGCCAATTAAAAGGAAAACTACATATTGCTCCTGAATACATATTACTGCAGAGAAAATAACCAGTGAAGAGGACTAAAACAGGGATATGTAACAAAAAAAACCTTGTTTATGCAAGAATTTATTTAGTGACCCATGGTCTAATGAATTTATTTAAGTATCAAAGCTCATCTATATACACAGCATGTAGACTAAGTAACTGCTCCTTACCTCTCCAAAGCCTCCCTTGCCTAATACTCGGAACTCTTCAAAAAATTTATCATTTATAGATTGCCGCTCATAGACTTTCCATTGCAAGAACTTCTCATAGAAAGGACTGGTCTGGAAGCCCTCAAAAGGTTTTCCCTTAAGAAAGCCTTTTGTCTCTTCCCTGGCCAACTGCAGGATGTTCTCAAAATCATTCGCAGAGGCTGACTGGCACTTGTTGCATAGGTCTGTACTAAGAAATGTCAAGTAAGTATTGCTAACATTCTTCAGATACATGTTGACCATGCCCTCTAGGAGACTGTTCTTGATGCTTTCTTCTGATAACTCCCAAGTACAAACTTCATCCAAGAATTCTTGGGCCACCCGGTATTCAGGCACAGTCGCCAGGTAGTCTTTGAAAAATGTCTTGCCAATGGGTTGCTGCTCACAAATGCTCTCATACTCCAGAGACATGGAACTCTTGATTCCAACACATTCCTCAACCTTAGGTAGGTTAATGCTCTTGCGTCGCTTTTGCATATCCTTGGCGTCCACATCTCCAGACTTCCTGGCTTGCAAGTATGCTGTGTTGGCAATCAGATTATCAAGTCCCCCCATATCACACATCTTGGCAATCAATTGGAGAAGCAGCGCTTACTGAGGTAAAAACACTGGGGAATCTTGCGGTGTTTATCTGGGTTTTGCTTTTTTGTGCCACCACCTGGTTATATGTATAAGCTTCAGAGAATAGGAGGGAGACTGCCGACTGCAGTATTAAATACCTCTGAAGGATTTTCACTAAGTACCTTTGAGGTGTATGTACCATTTGTGGAAAATGGCTAGTAAGAGGTTTCTCTATAAGGAGCTTTAGGTTTGCTATCTATAGCTAAAGGGATGCCATCCCAGGAAAATCTCCTCACTAGTTCCACCACTATCTAGTGTTCATTTCTCAGTTCTGAGTCTACAATTTATGTCTCGAAATGCTAGATAATTCTACATACTCCTTTTTTTTTTTAATCAGTTCTGATATCAGTATCTTCATTAAAGCAGGCAAAACACATGACACTATAGCACTCTCAAAACAGTTATGCAAAGTAGGCCCACCATAACTGCAAAAATGTCTTTAAGCCACATAGGATTTTCAGGGATTTACAAAAGTCTGTCTTCAGTTTTCAAACAGCAATTTTGGTAAAGAGGAATAATTAATTTTAGCAATCATAATTCAGTTTAAACTTAGCCTATTTAATAAATAAATGCTAATATTATAAACCATATCTTTATAGTTCAGTTATAAGCTTGCTCCTGTCATCTACAATTCCTTTACAGGAATTCAAATCAATTTAGGAAAGGTATATATAAATAAATCTTCATAAAGATTCTATAAATCATAGGTCCATATGGTTCAAACCAGACAATCTCAGTTTCTCACAATCTGGCAGAAAGAAATATCTCACATTAGTTTAGAACAAATCTGCTAGCTGACATTAAAAACAACTCTTGGCAGCATTTTAAAAAAAATCATCACTTGAACTAATGAGATTACAAAGGGAGCTGGTAGCAATCTCTATATTTAGAAATGTCTCGCACTTCATTATAAGAAACTGTTTGATTTAATGGCTCTCATAATGTTTTCCAATGGGCTTAGTGTACATATTAATGCCATGCAAAGATACATGTTCTTGTTCTCATTTGGATTTACCAGTCACTCTGAGGTTACGTTATTAAAAAATTCCAATAATTTGAGGCAAGTGTTAAGAATACAAAATATTCGGGACTTCCGGTTTGCAAGCTTTCGGCGGCGGCAGGGATTCGCGACCGCGCGATCCCTGCTGCGTTCGCCGCCAAGGTTCTCCCGATCCATTTGGATCTGGGGGATATAGCTGCCCCATAGAGGCAGCTGAAGACAGGGGGGATCCGGCAAGGGGTTTGGGGGTGCCGCAAACCCCCTCCCCAGCCAGCTAAACCCCCTTTTCCCGAGGCGGAGTAACGGTGCTCAGCAATGGCCGCCACGAAGAAAGCTGCAGCCGGGAAAGCAGGTGCAGGAGGGAGAAAGCTGGAAGAACAGTGAAAGTTGCTTCTAACCGGGACAAGACGGGAGAAAGTGACCTGGAACCTTGAAGGCTGCTAAGTATATATTATTCCTTGTTAGAGTTACAAGCTGCGAATACTCTAAAGGGGAAAGTTTTTTCTTTGTTCTACTCTCCTTCCTAAAGTGATAGCGGAAAAAAACAAAAATCTTTTTGGCTGTGAGTGGGAAAGGAGAGTGAAAAAAATTAGAGCAAAATTTGAAAATAAGGAGAAGATTGCCTAGAATTGTAAAGAGTTGTTAAACATTAAAAAACTTCCAAAAAAAATATATTTGAAAAGGATTTGTGATTACTTTAACCCCAGAAAGAGAAAGTGAAGAAGAAGGTATCTAAAAGAAATAGTCTGTTTGGATTGTTTGGTGATTTTGGAACCTTTGGAAATTACTTCTGATTAAAACATCTGGGTGGTTGTTTGGAAAAACTTTTTCTCTACACAGTGGCATCATCTATGGATGGATTGAAACTTATATATCAAAAATATGAAAGAGAAAAACAAGGAGGGGAAGATGGTCTTGGCACTATTTTTCAATACTTAGAAATGGCGGTTTATACTTATGTGAAGCAGAATGAGGATGATGGGGACAAAGAAGAAGAAGAAGCCATCTTTGATGAACAAATGATTTTGACTGGAGAAGGGAAAAAGCAAGAGAAAAAGGAAAAAAGGTCTTTAAGATCTGGAAAAACAGCCCAAAAAGAGAAGAATAGGGTGAAAAGGGGACATTATGTTAAGAAACAACAGAAAGGGGGAAAGCAGAATAAAAGGGAGGTGGAGAGACAAGGGGTTAAAGAGGACAAGGAGAAGAAGAAGCAAGAGAGAAAGGAAGGGATGAGAAGCCCTAATGGTGGGGAGCAAGATGTTAAGAAGCAAAAGTTTTTTAGAGATAATGGATAAATCTTATTGTTAAAGGGATTCTAGAAAGGTACATAAGACTGCATTTTTATACCTGTATTTAGATGTAATCATAGAAAATTAGAAACAATATGTAACTTAAAATGTGATAAAATATTTAACATAAATTAATGAAATTTTTGGTTAAGAAAAAGGGAGTACTGTAATGAAATATGATTCAAGATTGTGATGTGTGTGTGTGTGGGGGGGGGTAATAATTTTTGGAAAGCATAAGTGTTCCCACAAAGGCATGATATTTAATTGAAATGGATAAAATGTTTAAGATATAAATGATTGTTAATATTAATGATTAGAATATGGTATATTAGTGAAATTCTTTGTGAAATGAGATTTGAAGTAGAAGAAGGAGGAACATTTTAATGAAATATCGAGCTATAATATGTGATGTGGGGGGGGGGGAATAATTATGGAAAATAGGGCTCCCACAAAAGTATGTGATTTAATTGAAAAGCAATGAGTTAAACGTTTAAGATATGAATGAATATCAATATTAATGAATAGATTTGTATTATTTTTGATAATATAGTATAATTTTAGAATGTACCAGACAGAATCCCAATGTATGTCATGTGTTTTATATTAAGTGGGGAAAGAGATAAAGGCATCATACTCCATATAGTGTACAGGAGAAGTCTTTCTTCTTTTTTAAAAGAAGAAAAATAAATGGTTAGCTGGAATAGAACAGACAAAGAATAATAAATATTATGATATGAATTGAGAGGAGATAAATAAAATAAAATAAAATTGAGAAAATTTAAAGGAGAGGAGAAGTCATATAGAAAATTGAAAATGTTAATAAGATATGAAATGGTATGTAAAATGAATATGAATTTGAATTTGTGTCTGTACCAAGAGTTTTAACCCGGGACTAAGCAACTTTCAGAAAAGAGATTTTTTATGTTTTTATGTTTATGTGTATTTATGTATTGTTTGTCTTGAAAATAAAATTTGTTTTTTTTAAAAAAAGAATACAAAATATTGATAACAGTTGCCAGTGGATATACCATTCGTAGAATATAATATTCATCTGAAAATAATGAATACTAATAGCTATTTAGAAAAGCAATAATTAATTAAAAATTATTTAATATCGCTTCAAAGCTAGTTCAGTTCAGATACAATCCCAAAGCATACTTTGGGCAAAGCACTATGTAGAATTGCTTAATCTATTATTAGCTTAATAGATAAGTTAATAAATATTTTAAATAGGACGAAGGCAGAGTAGCATGTATCATCTTTGAAAATATTATTTTTTTCACATAGTTAATATTCTTGTATAGATGTATAAATGGAGATAATCTAGTAAGAATTGTTTGTTAATGCAATTAAAATGTTCATAAAATGTGAGTAACTTGGTCCTTAAATGATTTTTATATATTTGTTAGTATTATGTTCTTTGTTAACTTCTCTTATTTTTGACACTTTTAAATATTATTGATTCAAAGAAACTTATTTTAACTTTCCAGTATTTTGACATAATAAATTTGGGAGCTAATTACGACAGAAAATTGATTACGTATAGCACACCATATATAAGAGAAAAAAAGGACAATAAAGTCACTCTAGAATTAATTACTCACTATTGTGTTATTTTTCCAACATTCTCCAAAACGTGCAGCCAAAAACAAGCAATTAAATGTACATTGGCCACAGAGATCATATCTATCAGATTAAATTGTAAATACTCCTACAAAAACCCCAATACAGTACAATTTTAAAAGATAGTTCAATCTAGAAATTGTTTAATCTTAATGACTTGCCAAAGCAGATTAAAAGTTGCTTACATGATAAAGTTAAGAACAAGCAGTGATTTACAAACCTCTTTTCAGTTTCTAATAAGATCGCTAATTAAAAATGTTATTTTAATTCCATTTTAGTTGTTGCCATTAAAAACTTAGCATCAAGCCTATATATTAAGATTGTGTAACAGTTGGGAAAAGCTGGCACTTGAGCCAATAACCTGTTTACCATCTTGTTTTCCATATTTACTCCTAAACAATTTTAGATTGGTGTCACTCCGCTAGAGAAAGTAAGCAAAAGATTTAATTAAGAGATTAGCAAAAACAAATCTTATTTAGTTCTGAAATATCAAGATTCCTGGTTTGCTTATAAGCAAAATATTTACAAAAAAAAATGTATCTTTCTCCCTATTATCTGCCAGCTGATGGGAGAGACTTGGACTACATCACTTTACTGTCAGATTGTTGAAAACAAAGTAGACAGGAGACACAAGTAATAGTAACCCTCCCTCACTCTTTTCCCATCTAGCTAGCCGTTCCCTTTCACTCCATTCATCTCCAACTAACTTTGCTCGTTTCTTTCCTTTTCCTTCCTATTATAGGTATATTTTCTCTTATGTCACCTCCATTTTATTTTTATTGTTCTTTTGGGTGGGGGAAGGAAGGGGAAAGAGGATAATAATATATGCATGGTGTCCTTGGTGCTTTCTGAGCTTGGATGTTTTCTTGCAGATATTCAAACTGGATTAACATTAGACCAACAATCAATAACAATATCCCAATCAAGGAATAACCAAGCTCACAAAGCACCAAAGGCACCACACATATATTATTAGCCTTCAGACAAACAAGCCAACAATAAACCTGATCTCAGAAAGTTTGAACCATATAGTGGACTGTGGCCATGGTTTGGGCATCCTTGACTAGACCTCCAAGGTCCCTACCAATTTTGTTATTCTGTAAAGGGAATCACCAAGACCATTCCCTTGAACAATGACAGGGCAAGCCACTAGTATATAAAGTGAGAACCCCATTCTCTTCTAGCACATAAGAGCAGGAGTGCTAGTCTCGCCTTAAGATATGAAGCCAGCTGGGATCTCTCTGTCTTTCACTTTCTCCCCCCCCCCCCCCTTAGGAATTGCGAGCTGCTGAAAATGATGGCTGCTTCCAGGATGCAACGACATGGCCCAGGTACATGTGGGTTGCCCTCATTCCCCAACATGAGCACTGGAGATCTTCAAAAGGTAAGGAGGAAGGTGTGGAGTTTTGGTGTGATGGGAATAAGGTCTAAGGTACATGGGAACCTGATGGAAGGTAAAAAAGCCTGTGGGGACCGCTGGGTGAGGAAAAGGCTTGCAATGACCCAAGGAGTGGGAAGTGCAGCATAAGGTGTCTTAAGGGCTGGAGGTCTTGGGAATCCCAGGGTAGGCAGTCCTAGGCCTACACTAGGCTTCTAGGATCCTCCCCCACCCAAGGCACTCCATGCACCTCTTAACAAACTGTATGTTCATTTAACAGCCATATCAAGAAGGATGGGTGGGGGCTGTTATGCAAGGCTGCCTCACTTAACAGCTGTCACCATTTTCAACCATAATGTGCATGTTGATTACTCAAAGACTACCTGTACATACATACATAAAAGGTAGTCGCACTTTGTTGGGTAATGGTAAATTTCCAAGAGTAATTTCAGCTACAATTAGCACCCCTAGATTGACACACCCCCCCCCCCCGTATTTCCTTTTGCAGGCATGTTAAACTTACGGCTATCTTACCTTTATGAAAATATATATGGCTCCTATCTTTAAAGAAGGAAAAGCAAACTATGCAATTGACATTGATACATGGGAAGATCCCAGAGTGGATAAAGAGATCCATCAATAAGCTCTTTTAAAACAATGCAACAATTACCAGAAGTCAATGTGGATTTGTCAAGATCAAATCTTGCCAACATAATCTAAGTTTATTTTGGGTAGATTCCTTATTAGGTTGCATGAATCTTAAATATATAATATACCTTGATTGAA